GGGACAGTGAGTAGCCTTATCCCGCTCTAATCCTAAACCCTAAACCCTGAACCCTGAACCCTAAACCCTGAACCCTATACTCTAAACCCTAAACCCTAGACCCTAAACCCTGAACCCTCAACCCTAAACCCTACACCCTAAACCCAAAAGATAGTGACCCTGAGCCTCTAGAGCCTTAACTCCAAGACCTCCGGGCCTCAAGACTAAGCTCAGGACTCAAAGGCCCGAGCTTTGGGTTTAGGGCTTAGCCTTGAGGGTTTAGGGTTTAGGGTTAGGGTTTAAGGTTTCGGGTTAGGGTTTAGGGTTTAGGGTTTAGGGCTTAGGGTTAGGGTTTAGGGTTTAGGGTTTAGGGTTTAAGGGTTTAAGGGTTGCCGGGTTTAAGAAGCTTGGGCTGCGTGCAGTGCATGTGCCTCAGAATTTCGCCTTCAATTGAGAAGCTTGCTTCGACGCTGACGAATGCAGGGCCCTGATGAGACGTGCGAAATCCCACCATCAAATCCTACACGGCCCTACACCCGCAAACCCTCTGAAAGGCCGAGGCTCTTGCAGAATAGGAGCCCTCGATCTACAGCTCTCCACATTGGGGTTCCTCTAAAAATTTTGGTATCCTTATTGCCTTACCGTGGGCGCGCAAGGCCTCTCTTTGGGGGGATCCACAAAAAGCCACTTCGGGCAGGATGTGGGGGGTCTAAGGGGGGGCCAGAGCCCGGGCTTCAAAGGCAGGCCGGGATCTTCCCCAGACCTGACACTCCCTATTATGGTCCCTTTTAGGGCTCCTTTAAAGGGGATCCATAAGGGCTTCTCTTGGGTTTCTGTAAGGGTACTACAAGGGTTCTATATGGGCAGTTTTCTAAATTGGGGTCCCTTTTAGGGTCCTTTTTTACAATGGTGCCGTACTATATTGGGGACCTAAAAAAGTACCCTACTTTAGAGAACTACCCTTTTTATTCATAGTGAAGTATATTCACAAGCATCCTAGGGTATCAAAACTACATTAGAAAATACTATGTTATAGTAGACTACACGAACAAAACTACGACCATGTTACCATATCTTCTCTCAGTTTGCAAGGACCGTCAGACGCAGTTGATGAACACCTGCGAAGCTGGAGTCTTCAAGCCTGAACCCGCAAGCTATGGACCCTGAACCCCAAATCCTAAACCCGCAAGCTCCAAAACACCCTAAACCCTAAAGGCTAAACCCTAAACCCTAGACCTAAACCCCAAGCTCTCAAACAACCTAAACCCGAAAGTCCGGGGCCCTTAAAACCCTCTAAGCTGAACCCTAAGCCCCGATAATATAGGGGCCTTCATGATTAGAATAGGGTTTGGGGCTATCTCCTTAATAACTAGAACGGGGGTTTGGGGGTTCCTTACCATAACTTCTAGTATAAGATACCCCCAAACCCTATTCTAATTCTTAAGACCCTTATATTAAACACTAAATTCCAGAGCCCAAAGCCCGAAACCCCCGACCCGCCTCCTTCTTCAGGGCTCCATCGGGCTGGGCGGGTGTGGAAAATGGCCTTGCGTTTTGGGTTTCGGGTTTTGGGTTCAGGGTTCAAGGTTTAGGGTTCAGGGTTCAAGGTTCGGGGGTTTTGGGTTCAGAGTTTAGGGCTTAGGGCTCAGGGTTTAGGGTTTAGGGTTCAGGGCTTTGGGATTAGGGTTCAGGGTTGAGGAGTGCTCAGGTGTAGGAGGGTTTAGGTTTGTAGGCTTTGCGTTTTGCGTTCAGGTTGAAGGGTGTTAGGGCTTAGGAGGGTTTAACGGGGCTTCAGGGCTTGAAGATTCATGGTTGCCGGGGCTTTGGCCCAAAACCCCAAGTCCCACTTGCCCGATAAAAATAACGAAAACCGACATCAGAAACCGCAAAGCCCTAAAGCCCTGAATCCCCAAATGCTGGACCTTGACACCCTAAGGAAGCTAAGGAAGCTGTAGGGTTGGGCGTCTGTCAAGAACTTCGGTGCGTCATTGTTTGAAGTTTTAGGGTTTAGGGTTTTAGGGCTTCGGGTTTAGGGCTTAGGTTTAAAGGATTCAGGATTTAGGGTTTGGGGTTTAGGATTTGGGGTTTAAGGTTGAGATTGGATCTCGGCCCTGCCGTTCGCAGCTCGAAAGCCAAGGCAGCCCGGCCCAGCCCGCCCCAGATTAGAAATCAAGATCCCAGGAAATGCTTTCACTCAAATCGTGTTGCCCAAAACTTCGGTATCCAAACCCTTGACAATTTCTATAAACCCTGAACCAAGCCCTTAAGAATTTCGATAAAGCCTGAACCCAATGTGAGTTCAAAGCCAGAACCCAGCCTCTCTAAGCCTGCCTCAACAGCCCAGTCCCTGCAGCTTCCTTCGCTATTGGGCCTTAATGGCGACCTTAGTGTTTAGGTTGTAGGGTTTAGGCATCAGGGTTGGCCTTTAGAAATAGAATAGAAGTTGCGCGTACATTAGAGTATGGCTTTGTGAGGGACTATAAAGGGGACAATGTTTTTAATTTCGGTATTCCGAACCCTATAGCGTCAGCGAATCTGTCGCAAGACCTAAGACAAACCCCGGCTTGCTTGGAGCTGTTTTCGCCGGCGCCACATCGGTGAAGCATGTCGTTGCAGCTGCTCAGCATGTAGCATCATGAGAAGGCGCATTCATTGTTAGCACAAACCAACCATGGACAACATTCGATTTATCAGCTCAACCAAAACCACGGCGGTCAATGATAGTGCCGATGCTAATGCTTCTGAGCCCTTCAGTGGCTTTGAGCTCTTTTCACCCGTGCGGCCTGACTGGCATGCATTGCGCGGGTGAGAACAAGGAGTATCTTACTGTTTAGAATATCACTTGGCGCCCCTTGCCCTGTGCCCAAATGTTAAAACCGGTGGAAGATTTTGGAGAGACAATTTCTTGAGACAGGCCTGCTTGAAAGACTTGATCTCCAGATCTGGACACGCTGTGCCACAGTCCTACACCCTAAACCCCTAGACCCCTAAAAGCACTCAACCTGAAACCCTACCCTCACAGCAGAACAATCAGAATTCAAGCGTCCGCTGGGATTTGCAAAGAGGTCGAACTACCAGTGGCCACACTTACCAGTTGCCACAAAAGCGTTTGCATCTCCACCAAAAGCAGGGCGGTCGATGATAGTGTCCCCGACACCGAGGAGGGCAGCGTCTAACATAATACGGCCGATAGTACGACAAAGGCGAGGAAGTCTCATGGCATCCAAAGATCCTCGCGAACAAACTTAATCCCGAAACCCTGCACCCCAAGCGCCAAGCGCCAAGCTTAAACCCCTAGGATCCTTCCGACGGTCTCAGGGGGCCCTGCGGCGGGTACAACCCACTCGCCAACTGCTCATTAGAATGGTGCTTTATGGCTTTAGGGATTATAAGGGGGTTTAGGGTTTCAGGCAGCCTAAACTCTAAACTAAATCCAGCTTAAAGGCTTAGGGAGTCAGGGCTTTAGGGGCTTACTGGGTTCGAGCCTCGAGGATGGTGATACCGGAGCAGCCCACAGCAAAAGCACAGTCCACGATGGCCTGTGTCTCGCGTTTTAAGGTTTAGGCCTTGTAGGGCTTAGGGATACGCGCACAGGGGTTTGGGATTTAAAGTTTAGGGCTTATAGGGCCTAGGGATCCGAGTCGAAGTCTGTGGCCTTGCCAGAGGAGGAGATCCCCAGTACCCGCCGCGGTCGGGAAAGTCCACTGAAGTCGTTGTCGAACCGGAAGACCTCTGACCACAGCCCACCCTGCTCTTCGTAGATCGCCGTCTCTATCCGCGGGGTGTCTGTAATGTTGTATCTGATCCGCCAGCTGGCGATGATGTAGTCTCCGTCCACGTCCACACCTTGACCAGATTGAGCTGGTGCTGAGAAGCTTGCTACATTGGACCAAGAGTTCCCAGCCCACCGGTAGACACGCACCCGTGATTCCGCTTGAATGACCAAAGTCCTACCATCACTCGCGAACCAGGGAATTTCGCTGGAGACAAGCTGTATTTCAGCAGTGGGCACGAGGGACCACAAGGATCCTTGCAGCCGGAAGGTCTGGAAAACCCTGGTCGCCCCATAGTGAACGGAAAGGACCAGTAAGTCTCCCCCAAGAGCCGTAAAGGCGGAGTTATAGCACTGAAAGCCTGGAAACGATTGCTGTCCCAAGAAAACCCAGGAAGCCCCGTCGTACTTGAAGGTGTGCGTGGAGCAATCCATATTCACGTTCTCCGAGGCCACGACGATCTTCTCGCTGCTCAGGGCCGCCTCATTCGCCCATGAAGCCCGCAAGGTTACGTTCTGCCTTGCCACTTCCGTGAGGTTCGCCTCTACCTCCCATCCTGCAGATGCTGAGTGCTTGAAAACGAGTACATCACCAGGGACCGTTCCCGAATTCGGTGACCATGCCATGAGGCTGGTATTACCTTCGGCTCCTGAGGAAGACGATGTACCGTAAAAGCTGCTGCTCGTGGAGTTTAGCGCCGTCACGCGCAACTGCTCTGTCCAGTCAGCGCTGGAAGAGCAGCCCAGCTCCGATGCATCGAGTTTTTGTTTATGGGCTGCCGAGAACTGCAACATGCAACTCCTGTCGGGAGAGCTTTGGACACTTTGGCTCAGAACTCGCCCCAGCATGCACCAGGCCCCCAAGCTCCACATGGCCCCAAAGCCTCTCCACATTGGGAGAAAGGCCTTGAAAAGACAACCAAGGACCAAAGGGGCCGGCTTGATCCAGCTTGAAACAGAAACCACGGCCCAACATGGTCCCGACAGCTAGGCTACGTTGCTTCAGAATGCCTTACACTGCAATTGTGTCGGGATAGTTCGGGGCTTCTGCCGAAGATTTCAGTGGTTTGTAAGTAAGTACGGGCCACTCTGGCGTCTATGAGCTTAAAGCCCACTCCCTTAACCCTACCCCCTCCCAAGCAAATCTCTCATCCGCAAAGCACCTTACCCGAGACCAGCATCCCGATACCTCAGCTGAATCCTGGACCCTAAATGTGCCACATAAGTCCTACATCATTATCTCTGACCCAAGTTAGGTGCAATTTAAATAATTAGATATATTTTGTTCATACAGAGAATAACCATGAACATATATAATCTTCAACTGTCTAAATTCGCTAAAGTTTAGATATCGATAGAACAAATTATGCAATGATAAGAAGAATCGCGTATTCCATTGCCATTCTTATGTTACAACCTGTTATCGGTCTATACCTGCAGAATATGTTAACCGAAATCCTCCATGGTTCAGAAGTTGAAAAGATGTTCCCAGGTCGCTGAATCCGATGCCCCCATCCAGGTTTCTAGTGGGTACATTATCTTACTGATCTTTTTTTGGAGAGTTTAGTGTTTAGGGGTAAGGCCTATGGAGCGCTTTGAAGGCCCTAAACCCTAAAAGCCCTAAAAAGCCCTAAACGCCCTAAAAGCCCTAAACCCTAAAAACCCTAAACCCTAAGCCCCTACACCCGAA